CCCATCCTATTATATTATATTCTTCTCAGTGACATGACAGGAATCTTTCCTCAAAAATGGAGAGGATCACAGCAACATAAACAGGCACAACCAGATCATGAACTATTGTGATAATAGCAACCTTTTCCAACTCACCTTGAGAATAAGGTCCCCTTCCTGTAGGGAGTTATTCTTGGCCGCCAATCCTGTCTCGGCGATGTGTTTGATGAAAATCTGGCTTCCCAGCTTCAGTCCGTATTCTTGGGTTTTCAGGAAGGAAATTTTGTAGTTAGCAAAATGAACATTGTCCTCATTCATAAAGTCCTCTTTTAGCAGTGGGAGGAGGGTATGGTTGTTACAGATTGTTCTCGACTTTATGGCCACAACGGGGACCAGAACTTATATTGTTAAGCAAGGGAATTGTTCAGTAAGTTATGCCCAGTTTTACAACCTCTTTTGACATGGTTGTTAAGTGAATCGTGCAACTGTTAAGTGAATTCAACTTCCTCCATTGATTTTGCTTGTTGGAAGCCAGTCGGGAAATTTGCAAATGATAATCATAAAACCCCAGGATGCAGCAACCATTGCAAATATATGCCACTTGCCAAGCACCCAAATTCTGATCTCATGACTGTGGGGAGGCTGCCACAGTTGTTGAGGACCAGTTGTGAATTACTGTTGTGACTTTGAATGGACGTTAAATGAACGGTTGTAAGTCAAGGACTGCATGCATAAGGCACAGTCTTTTATTTCAGACAGTTGCCCCTTAGAATTACTTATTTTTTTAAACACTCACGTTTGGCCTTTATCTTGATCATCTGACTTTAACTTTAACAATAGCATCAGCAATAGCACTTAGACTTATGTATCGCTTCACAGTGCCTTAAGCCATTTACAGAATCTGCCTCTTGCCCCCAACAATCTGGGTCCTCATTTGACCCACCTTGGAAGGATGGAAGGCTGAGTCAACCTTGAGCCTGGTGAGACCCGAACTTGCCAAATTACAGGCAGCCAGCAGTCAGCAGAAGTAGCCTGCAGCACTTTATTCTAACCAGAGGTGGTATTCAGCAGGTTCTGACCAGTTCTGGAGAACCGGTAGCGGAAATTTTGAGTAGTTCAGAGAACCAGCAAATCCCACCTCTGACTGGCCCTGCCCCCATCTATTCTCTGCCTCCCATTGAGTCCTAGCTGATCGGCTGGGTCTTCTTTGGTTGCCCTGCACAGGAGAAGGGAGCTGGAAAGCAGGTTAGTGGGGTGGGAATGGGATTTTGCAGTAACTGTCCCCTGCCACGCCCACCAAGTCATGCCCACAGAACCGGTAGTAAAAAACTTTGAATCCCACCACTGATTCTAACCACACCGCAGCTCATACTACTTTACAAACGTTTCCATTGAATGCACAAGTCTGTCACATTCAGGTGAAAAATTAGAATGTTGGCAGATCAGACCGATCGGCGTTTCTTAAAACTAGGCAAGTTTAAAATGGGTGTCTATGGAGATTCTCAGTCATCCAAGTCACAGTTGTCCTAAAGGTGCCTTTTTTCCAAGAGGCGACTGGACTTTCTGGTTTTACTTTGAAGACATTTCATCCAGGAAGCTTCCTCAGCTCTGACTGGATGGTGGGGAATGGGGATGGCTGGACTTCAGTTCCCAGGGGAATTCTGGGAATTGAAGTCCTCCCATGTTAAACTTGCTAAATTTGAAAAACAACTGAGATGCATGAACTGCATTAGGCAGAGAAAAAGTGGCAGAGAAAAAAAAAATAGAGAAGCGTACAGGTGATCCTCCACTTACAACCAAAATTTCCATTGCTAAGCAAGACAATCGTTAAGTGAGTTTTGCCCCATATCACGACCTTTCCTGCCACGGTTGTTATGTGAATCACTGCAATTGTTAAGTTAGTAACAGGGCTGTGAACTGGTTTCCCCACTGGTTGCTTGTCAGGTTACAAAAAATTGATCACATGACCCTGCAACAGTCATAAGGACATGCCAGTTGCCAAGCATCTGAATTCGGATCAGGTGACCGTGGGGATGCTACCACGGTCGTAAGGGTGAAAAGCAGTCATCAGTCACTTTTTTTCAGTGCTGTTGCAACTTCAAATGGTCACTAAACGAATGGTTGTAAGTTGAGCAGGGCTGGGCTGCTGGGGGTTTGCAGGGGTTCAGGAGAGCCCCTAGCGAAGATTCTGTGCAGTTTGGAGAACTCCCCCTATCCCACTCCTGGCTGGCCCCCCCCCATCCCCTCCCTGCCCCCCCCCCCAGGTGTCCTCACGCGGTCTGTTTTGGATGCAGGTAAGTGCAGTCATGCACGGAGGCTTGGGTAGGGTGAAAACGGGCTTCCAGGAAGTTCGGGAAGGCTGGAAATGGGCCCGTTTCTGACTTCCAGAGAACCTCCAGAGCCCAAGGAGGCTGTTTTCACCCTCACGGAGGCTTGAGAAACACCTCCGGAGTGCGGGGGAGGGCAAAAACGCCTCCCCTGGGCTGTGGTGCAGGAGGCCGACTAGGCCACGCCCACCATGGCCACGCCCACCCAGCAACCGGGCAAAGAACCTTTTGCTAAAATTTTTGAAGCCCACCCCTGAAGTTGAGGACTACCTGTATCTTAATTTGGAAAAGCAGAAAAGGATAAACGGGTGAAAAAAAAAAGAAAAGTTAGCCGTTCACCTTCACTCTCCTTCCGTTTCACCAAAACTGAGCGGACGGGTTTCATCGGCACGTCCTGCCTTGGCAGTCTCTTAAACCCAGACATGAGGACAAGCCCGCTGTTGCTTCCTTTGTAATGGTGTCCATTGGCCAGAGGGGGCTTATCAGACCCGCTGTCTTGGCTCCGCCTCCGGTAGCCGCCCTCTTGGCTCCGCCTCCGGCTCCTGAGGGGTTGCCTGCGGGTGCTGTCATTTTCATCCTCACGATAATGTCCCGAACTTCTCTCGCTGGACGAATCTCCATCGTAACCGCGGTTATGTTCTGCTTCTGTCCGCTGCCGGCTCTTCCTGGGATGTTGGCCCGAGGGGGCTGACTCACCCCCCTGGTACCCATAATCCTCATCCGAGTCATCATTTCTCCCATCAGTCGCATGTTTAGTAGGAGTCAAGGGAGGCTGGCTTTTTGGCTGGCTGGATTTGGTAACTGGGAGATGGATTTTTCTGGGTCTTTTTACCGTCTGCAATAAGAGAAAGAGAATTTGCATCTGGGATTTGCATCTGGGCTAATGTTTCTCAACCGTGGTAGCTTGAAGATATGTGGACTTCAATTCCCAGAATTCCCCAGCCAGCATGGCTGGCTGGGGAATTCTGGGAGTTGAAGTCCACACATGTTAAAACTTACTAAGGTTGACAAACACAGCTCTGGGCTGTCCACTTTATTAAATAAATTTTTAAAAAACACCAAAATCCGTGCAAAAAGATTCAAACCCATCAGATGAATTAAAAAACAGAAGTATGAAAAGTTTTTTTTTTTAGGCAACTTGTCCACTTTTCCTATCGTGGGGAGGAGAATATTCAAGTCCCACCCAGCAACAACTTTGGCACAATTCTTTTCCTCAACAATTTTTTTTTTCAAGATTTTTGACAGAGATTTTGTCTCAACATTAAAAAAATAACGAGGGCTATAAAATTATTGAAACTGAAATTTGATGCAGCTCCCTAGTACACAAACCATAATCAACTTTAACAGCACAGCCTGCTTAATCGAATGGCTAAGGCACCAGGCTAGAAATTGGTAGGCAGTGAGTTCAAATGCCGCCTTAGGCATGATAGCTGTTCTGGGTGACTTTGGGCCAGTCATTCTCTCTCAGTCCAACCCACCTCACAGGATTGTTGTTGTGAGGGAAATAGGAGGAGAAAGGAGTATTAGGTATGTTTGCTACCTTGAGTGATTTGTAAAAATAATCAAGGCGGAATACCAATAAATAAATACAGTATAAATATGATCCATGTAGATCTGTCACTCCTGTTTTACAGGATGAGCAAGGAAACAAAAATAGCGGAATAAAAAAGTTGGAAGGGACCTTGAAGGTCTTCTAGTCCAACCCCTGCTCAAGCAGGAACCCCTATACCAGTGGTAGCTAACCTTTTTGGACTCCTGTGCCAAAAATTGTGTGTGCACGCGCACTTGCGTGCCAGCACCCAGAAGGCAATGTATGCACACACACCCACGGCCCCTGCGCATGCATGCGCAATCCCCCCGCCACGCCCTTACCTGCACTGTGCCTCCCAGCTGATTTTTGGCCTCCCAGAGGCTTTCCTCAAGCCTCTGGGAGGCCAAAAAAGGCCTCAAATGGGCTGAAAATCAGCTGTGAGACACATGCATGTGCAGTGAGGTAACTTTGCCTGGGGCTCGTGTACCCGCCCGCACAAATGGCTCTGCGTGCTACCTGTGGCACGCGTGCCATAGTTCGCCATCACGGCCCTATACCATTCCAGAGAAACGGTTGTCCAATTTTTTCCACTGATTAATTGTTCTAAACGTCAGGAAATTTCTCCTTAATTCTAGGTTGGTTCTCTCCTTGATTAGTTTCCATTCATTGCTTTTTCTTCTGCCTTTAAGTGCAGAAACCAGAACATCTTTACGTAACCTCAACTTCCATTTTTCTGAACTGAAAAGCTATCATTATCTGAACAAGCCAGGATACTAAACCAATATCAAACTTGACTTCATCTTCTTGGCTCATTCTGAGACTCGGTTAAGCTAGCAAAGAAAGAAAGAAAGAAAGAAAGAAAGAAAGAAAGAAAGAAAGAAAGAAAGAAAGAAAGAAAGAAAGAAAGAAAGAAAGAAAGAAAGAAAAGAACAAAAAGATTTGGAAGTCCTGCTTCTTCTCCAACAGATCTGCTTCTGCTGCACTCACAATATTAGCCAACTTGCCACAGGTTTTCAAAGTGGAGATGGCGAAAGACGAAGACACGTTCTCCATGGAGAGGCCATTGACCATGGCAATCTTGTCCCGGGTCCTGCCAAATGTAAACAGGGAGTTAAGTAAAGGCCTAACACAGAGGGGTCAAACTCGCATCAAGTGGTGTAACAACCAGTTTGGTGAGCATGTGCTTCGTCCAAACCAGTCTGAACTGGTATAATCCGACCTCTGCTCGCATCGTCACGGTGTCGTCACGTGACGTATTGTGACTTCCCCCCCCGCTTTGCTAAACCGGGCATGGCCCACAGGCCGCGAGTTGGACACCCCTGGCTTAACAAGTGAGAAAGAAGCCACAATGTTTCCCCTCTCCTCTTTCTTTTCCAAAAAAAATTAAAAGAGTATTAAAAAAATCTCTTCAACCCGCTTTTACCACATGGGACCAGAGGTGGGATTCAATTTGTTTTACTATTGGTTCTGTGGGTGTGGCTTGGTGGGCATGGCCTGGCTTGGTGGGTGTGGCTTGGTGGG